GGGAAGTTTCGCCTGCCTTCAAACCCATGATTCTCAGATTTTAGCCTCTAGAGTAGCTAGGATTATAAGCATAATGGCACCTGTCTCATTTGGTCATTTTTGTATGCAAAGGAAGCTAACTCATTGTTGCAACATCATCCTCCAGTTCCACTTTTAGTTTGATTAAATACTTGAGTAAAGCATACTGTCATGAAATAACATGGGATGACCCAGGAACTAGCAGGGTGGCTCCAGATTTTCTATGGAGGAATATCTTAGGAATGTTAGCCTAGAGGGATTGGTGGCCAGGATAGCACACTAGGGCTGGTTTCCTGGGAAGGAAGTATTTGCTTTGCACTGTGTGTGATGTAAGTTCCCTCTGGGGCCACTAATGAAGACTATGCAATGGTTAGACCTCTGCCAGGTCCTTTCCTCTTCCCAGTTTTGCAGACATGGAAATTTTGGAAAAGATGCTGCTACTACCCAGTCAGTTCCCTTACATGGCAAAAGTCTCGGTGTTAGGAACCACGTAAACTTTCACATCATCCTAATTCACATTACTGCAACTCCCATTTGTGTGTGTGTGTGTGTGTGTGCAAAAAGGACTTAATACGGAGTGACAAAACTCACAAGTGCATTTGCACTTTAATTCCTGGTTGGCCTACTAGAAATTGTTAATGCTAAAATAGTTTCCTATCAATGAACTTAGTTCCTATTGGAATATAACTCTGCATTTGTAGAAAAACAAAAAACAAAAGCCAAAAACAAAACAAAACTGTGGACTGTGTCATCCCTACACAGGCTAGGGGGATAAACATCTCCTGAAAGAGGCTTTGAAGTTTGCTGTGGCATGAGCTCCATTTAGGTCTGAGTAAGAATAAGCACTGGAGTGGTTCACTTCATTATCCATTTGAGAAATTTAGCACCCAGCTTGAACAAAATGATTTGAGAAGAATCAGAAAGAGGCCAGCTGAGGTTTCCCTTACTGTGAAATCACAACATCTCTAAGTGCTTCTTCTTTTAATCCTGAACACAAACCTCATTCTAATTACCCTACTAGTGAGAACTGAACAGTGTGAGATCCACTGTGAAATGAATATTTCTAATGTAGAAAAAGAACAAAAAACCATCTATCCATCTTCTGAAAATTTAGTATCTTAATGTGATCCATGACTTATCACCTTTTTGTACTGCTTTCTGTTTGGTTATAATTTTATCTATTAATCATGTTAATCCAATAGAATCTGCCTTAATCAAATGTGAGTCAATTACCCAGTTCTTCAAATTATATTTTTAATGAAAGACATTTTTTAAAATTGAATGCCAATTAGGCCAAGCCAAACTTGCTCAGGAAAGTTTGGCTGATCACAGAACAGTATGAGACTTGGACGATACCTGTGTTTCTGGCTTCTTCCAAGGAAGGCGTGCTGTGTGCTTTAGACACAGCTATTAACCTCTCTGTAATTCCCAATTTCCCACCTGTGAAATGAGCATAATGATGCTTCTGGCTTGGGAAATGATGTTATGACTTTTTAGTTGAAAAATGCATCTAGAATACCATTTAAAAAGTGTTTTATAATTTTGACTTAAAAAATATATATCATAGGTGGTTTTCTTTTTCCTTAGCACAAAAGTATGTTCCTACATTGTGACAGAGCCATACAGATTCACAGAGGAGGACATGAGACTAAGAGGGGTCTCTTAAAAAATGTATATAATATATATATATATTTTTTTGGGGTCCGGTCGTGGGACCTGAACTCTGGGCCTGGGCGCTGTCCCTCAGCTCTTCAGCTCAAGGCTAGCACTCTACCACTTGAGCCACAGCACCACTTCCGGCTTTTTTTGCTTATGTAGTGCTAAGGAATCGAACCCAGGTCCTCATGCATGCAAGGCAAGCATTCTACCACTGAGCCACCTTCCCAGCCCTAGAAAATATATATATTTTAAACCAAGAATGTTTATAGCCAAAGTGACAAAATTGTTTTATCCAAAGGCCTTCTGACATTAAGTGTGTGTAAGGGGAAACTTTTAGTGCTGGGGAAAGTTGTAAGATCACTTCTGAGTTTAGTAGAATACAACTCTGTGCTTCATTGATAAGGTCTACACAGACACAGAATGGGGGCATGAAAGCCTGGGGACAAGAACCTTGGCCTATAGCTTCTGTGCGCCAGCCTCTGGTGGTCCTTGGGCTCCACTGATACTATATATTATTGAACTGTTCAACCTTCCATCACTGTGAGAAAAATGCCTGGAATAAATATGGAGGAATAAATATATGGAGGCAAGGTTTATTTGGCTGGGTTGCATGGCCCTGTTGATTTGGGCCTGTGGCAAGTCAGTTAGAACACTGGAGGAGGGCATGGAGCGGGGACAGCTCATGGCAGGGGAAGCTGCTCAGCTCATGGTAGCAAGGAAGCAAAGAAAGAAACAGGAAGGTGTATAGCCTTGTTAAGGCCCCACCCCCAATGACCTAACTTCCTCCAAATAGGCCATAACTCTTAAAGATTCCACCATCTCCCAATAGTGTCATGGGCTGAGTACCAAGCCTTCAACTCCTCTGGGGACTATTCAAGATCCAAAGTATAGCAATCATGGAGGATATGCATGTATGAAATCACATTTTTCTAGAAGAGGAGTCTATCGTTTACTGACTTTCAGTAAGATTTGAATTGGAGTCTACAAAGTACTGCTTTCAGCTTAAATTGACTATGAGGTCAGTGGTTGAAACTTTGGCCTAGACTGATGCCACAGGATCATTTCCACCTGTTCAGTCTGAGGGGTGGAAAGAAATCTTATCAGCAGACAAGTGTCTCCTTCTGTTCTACAGAGCTGGCTGCCATTACATCGTCTGAAATTGGGGATCTGGACTTCTTGGGACGAGAGCTCTTTCGTAGTTGTTGAAGTTTAGGGAGGTAATGATAGTTATTTCGTTCTCTTTCTTCTCTTCTCCAAGTGCCCCACTCCTCTGGTATTTAGCTCTGCAGTTCAGTTGAAATCACGTTGATGTATTAGAGGCTGATCCAGCTGAGTGCATTCCACAGAGGAATGAGAAGTGGCCTGGTGGTGGTGGTGAAAGGCTTTCTGGATGATAGGTGGCAGCCTGGTGCATTAGTGCTTTTTGATGGATAGCCAGGGACCTTCCAAGTTCTGTGACACAGTGGCTCAGGAAAAAAAATCATAGATACTGAAGATTTATTGTGGAGGGGACTACCCAAATAGGGAACTTCTGTGCCTTAAAGTGGCCTAGAATCTGAGTGGGTAAACTGAGATCTTTTCAGTCTTCAGCTAATAATCTTTTGTGGTCATTTGACTTGAAGTCTCACATTTCCTATAGGAGCCAAAACTTTATAAGAATAACTATATCTGAGTCATTATCCTCTTATTAAATGTTCCTGTTCCATTTTTTTTGTTAAATTAGTAGAGGATTAGAATGAAGACCTTGGCATTTTAGCCACTGTGATTATCTGAGGATTTTGTTGTGTGTTTTGATCAGGTGTGGGCATGGTTACTGCAATAGGCATGTCCCTTTCACCCAGTGTCTGGGAGAAATCAAATAGCATGTAGACATCTAATGTCCTGTAATTCTCTAACAAGTATGCTAATTCTGAATGCACAGATTCTGGATTCTGTCTCTCTAATTCCTCCCACTTTAGCCTTGTAGCAAGCAAGAGTAGCAGTAACAAACATCTTGTGGATAAGAAGAGAAGTCTAACTACAGTTAAGTTAGAGAAATAAAGCTTTCTCTTCCAAAACATATTATTGTAGGGCTGGGAAGTTGGCTCAGTGGTAGAGCCCTTGCCTTGCATGCCTGAGGCCCTGGGTTCGATTCCTCAGCACCACATAAGAAAAAAGCCGGAAGTCGTGCTGTAGCTCAAGTGGTAGAGTGCTAGCCTTGAGCTGAAGAGCTGAGGGACAGCGCCCAGGCCCAGAGTTCAGGCCCCATGACCGGACCCAAAAAAAACCAAAAAAACCAAAACATATTATTGTAGATTATTTTTGTAGTACAATTACTTAGATGAAATACAATGGCTAGTTTGAGGCTTTTAACTGTTAAACTGTTTCTGAAGTATGGTGTCCACTTTGGACTTTATTTCTGGTTGCATTTCCTCATTTGAGAATTGAATTTTAGGGACTTTATTCATGTACCTATTAAAATTAGGGATGTTTTATTTTCTTGTGTGGATTCTTTGCCATTGACTTTTATTCATCTACTTGTAGACTCTTTGATAGCTATGCACTATTTTTTTTTTTTTTTTGGTCGGTTGTGGGGTCTGAACTCTGGGCCTGGGCGCTGTCCCTCAGCTCTTCAGCTCAAGGCTAGCACTCTACTACTTGAACCACAGCGCCACTTCCAACTTTTACTACTTATGTGGTGCTGAGGAATCAAACCCAGGGCCTCATGTATGCAAGGCAAGCACTCTACCACTGAGCCACCTCCCCAGCCCACTATTCACTATTTGATGGAGATATCTTCATAAGATTATTAAGAATATTCTTGGCGTACAGAACTTTTCTCCTGTGCCAAGAGCAGCAATAATCTACTCATTTATCAAAACTTCTGAATACCATACACTATTATTAATCCTAGTCCTCATGTTGTACATTAGATCATTAGACTTGTTAATTCAAAATTGACCATTTTTAATGGGAAAATGTTGAATACATTCCTTAAAAAAAAAGGAACAAAGTGTTTACAACGACTGCTTCCAATGAATATTACTGAGAATCCTGGCCAGCATGGAAAGTTAAGAAGCCAGATGAGGTGGCTTATACCTATAGTTGTAGGTACTAGGAAGACCAACACAGGAGGATCCTGGTTTGAAGCTAGCCTGGGGGGTAGCAGATTAGAGTTCCTATCTCAGAGATAGGATTGTTTACCACACACTGAGTTCTAGGTTTGATCTCTAGCATTGTAATGATAATGACAATAGTAATATAACAGTATAATCCAACAAAGTTGTAGGATGTGGGTACAAAAATCAGTGGCATTTTTCTTTTTTCTTTTCTTTTTTTTTTGCTTTAGAGATTACTTTCTGAATAGTAAGGTCTTACAAGTACAATCCAGATGGAGCTCCAGCCACGTGTTTTAAATAAATCCCAATGACTTGATATTCAAGTCCAAGCTAGATATTCAGTGTTTTCTTTATAGCCAATATGATGTCTTTGACTTGAGGTACAGAGTGGTCTTCTAGAATCTTAGCGTAAGGCACTGAACAGCAGAAGCATCCAGGAAATTGAATGCAGGTCCTTCCATGATCCTGGTGCAAATTTCAGCTCCTACTCCAAACTGTGGCCAGCCTCCTTCCACAGTTACAAGATGATTTGTCTTCATGACACTGGCTTCTGTGGCATCAATGTCCATTGGTCTGATAGCACACATATTAATTACCTCACATTCAATTCCCTCTTTAGATAGTACAGTCGCAGCTTCTAAGCAGTGGCCTACAGGTCTCGAATGGGCAACTACGGTTATGTGTCCCTTGCCTTTCTATTTTGGCTTTTCCAATGGGAATCAGAAAATCTTTGGACTGAGCTTCTGCAGGAAGTTCAAAGGAAACTCCATACATCAATTCATTCTCTAGCATCACCACTGGATTGTTATCCTGAATGGCTGACTTAATAAGTCCTTTTGCATCCTCTGAATTCCAGGGGCTGACCACCTTTAAGCCTGGGCAGTGCCCATACCATGCAACAAAGCACTGTGAGTGTTGGGCAGCCACACCTTCTGAGGCACCATTAGGTCCCCTGAATACTATGGGCACAGGCTGGCTGGAGGCCTGCAGACATGTAGTAGGTCTTGGCAGCTGAGTTTATTAACCTGGTCAATGGCTTGCATAGAGAAATTGAAGGTCATAAATTCACAAATGGGCCGCAACCCAGCCATAGCTGCACCAACTGCAATTCCAGCAAAACTCATCTCAGATATCGGAGTGTCTATGATCCTCTTATCTCCATATTTTTTCCACAGGCCTCGACTAACCTTGTATGCCCCGTCACACCGGGCAACTTCTTCTCCAAGCGGAAATACCTTCTCATCTCTTTCTAGCTCCTCATCCATACCTTGATTCATAGCTTCTCGAACTGTCAGCTGCAGCGCTGCCCGTGCGTTTCTATGAAAGCGCCTCTTCAGCAGCCCGGAAACCTGCTGAAGGGGTCTCCTCATGAGCCCAGACACTGCCGCCATCCTGTCCGTGTCCTCTAGCCGCCTCCTAATTCAGTGGCATTTTTCTATAGCTACAAATAATTAGAAAGCGTAGCTTAGAAAAACAATTCTGGGCTGGGAAGGTGGCTCAGTGGTAGAGCGCTTGCCTTGCATGCCTGAGGCCCTGGGTTCCATTCCTCAGCACCACATAAGCAAAAAGAAAAAAGCCGGAAGTGGCGCTGTGGCTCAAGTGGTAGAGCACTAGCCTTGAGCTGAAGAACTGAGGGACAGCGCCCAGGCCCAGAGCTCAGGCCCCACGACTGCACCCAAAAAAAAAAAAAAAGAGCTGAGGGACAGCATCCAGGCCCAGAGTCCAGGCCCCATGACCGGACCCAAAAAAAAAAAAAAAAGAAAAACAATTCTACATATCTTAGAAAAACAACAATAAGCAATACACTCTAAACAACAGTACTTAGGAATAAAGTTTGTCAAATATTAACAAGACCTCTTAGCAGATAAGTAAAACATCAGACCTAAATTAATGGATTTAGCATGCATAGTATCACCAAAATCTATCGAAAAGAAAACGGAGTAGAGGACTTGTCCCATGGAGACTTTTTTTTTTTTTAAACAAACTACTATGATTCCTATGGTGGGTTATTTATATAGGGACAAACTAACCAACAGAACCAACTTTGACCCATGTACACACAAGATACTTACATATCACGGTAATGGCATGATGTCCATGGGGAAAGGAGGGACTAGGCCATGAAATGTCTGGCCCAGTGTTCTATGGTAGGTTCAGGGAGCCATGACTCCCAGATCCCAACCCCCAGTAGGCAGTGGAGGTAGAGGGGCTGGAGAAGGGACAAGGACAAGGCTTCTACTGAGTCTTGAAGAATGAGAAGACATCAGCTGATCAAATAGGGGTCAAATAGGAAAGTCTTGCTAGACAGCGAGATGTTCACAGAATTAAAATTGTTGCCTAGACAGACAAGAACTCAGTGAGAAGTTAAGGGAAATAAAAGGTCGGAGAGGGGTCAGTGGATGAACACGGAACCCAAGCTTAGACATTTTCTTTCTCCTCAGAGGTCTGATATCTCCTCAATTGTATCTTTTTTCAAAATTCGGACTGTGTGTAATTACTAAAATTTGGATCCATTCAGAATTTATTTAGATGTGTGATGTGAGATGAGCATACACATTTCCCAAATGGCTAACACACATTCTCTCAGTTATATGTTAAATAATCTCTTCCCTTTAATAAAAGGGAAGAATTGATTACTGGGAATTTTATTATCATATGTTAACATAATGACTTTGGGTGGATCCCTGGTAAATACTGAAAAACAGTTTTGGTGCTGAAAGGTGAGGAAGAGGCAGGAATCATCAATTTAAGTTAAATTTAGATCTAAAATAATCCACTTTATTTGCAGAGCTTGTGTCAATAACTTACTATCTACCTATCTTTTTTAATGACCAAAGTGGCAGTTTAATGACCAGGGACAATTAAAACAGTTAGTATTATTTTGAGTATTTTATGTTACAGTAGATTATTTCACATTAAATGTTAAATACCTATCAGTTTTCATTTCCTGTTAATAAATTTCCACATTCATCAATCTCAAATGTTGTAAGGTTTTGTAATACATGTGGAGTCTGAGACACAGAGAGAAAAAGAGGGGAAGAGAAGGAGAGAGAGAGAAAAGGAGAAGATAGAAGGTGAGAGGGGGAAAGAGAAAGCATTGAGAAATGGAAGAGAGATTCTAAGAGGGAGGGAGAGAGAACTGTTTAAGTACTTCGCAGGAAAATTACCAGGCAGCTGGTATCATGTTGGCTTGGGCGATGACTGATGACAGAAGACATTATAAATAATCTATTTACTAACTCTTAACAGCTAAATAATGTGCTTGTCTTTCACTATAACTGAATTGCCAATATTGTATTGACAAAGTGTCAGGGAGCTGGAACTTAACTGACCTCATGTAACCATTTTTCTTTCTACAACCCCCGTGAAAGGCCCAGAATAAAACAAGCCTTATTACCCTGATTAATGGCAGGCACTAAAGGTTACCAGTGAACTTGGTTGCATTTATTTATTTACACTTAATTCACTGGTAAGGGCAGATGCATGAACTCACCGGGCAGAGGAAGACATGATAATTTCTCTTCTCTCCCACACAGGCTGAATGCCTGACTACTTTGAGAGGCTGGTCCCTTATATAAGAGACCTGACAACCCATCCAAAGTGTTGGAGAGCAGCTTATCCAGGGTAGAAATGCTGCTTTCCCAGTCTCAGCAAGTCTCTTGCTCCATAACTACTTGTGATTTGGTTTAGAATCTACAAATACCCCACAAAATAGATGATGTCAGGGAGTAAGGGTCTCTAATTCCAAAGGAAGTAACCACATATAATCTGTCTTCTTAGGTTATGATGTTCAGAACAGCTGTTCAAAACCAGTAATGAGATAGGGTCTCATATTTTGTTTCAGTATCACAACGCCTGAGAAATCTCCCTCCTTCCCTCCTATCCTCCTTCCCTTTTATCTTCTCTCCTTCCCTCCCTCCCTTCCTTCCTCCTTCCCCCTTTCTTGAATTGCTTGTTCAGCTTTTTGGCTCATGACTAGAGCTTTGCCACTTGAGTTGTCTCCATTTCTGGTTATTTGAATATAATAGTCTCTTCAATTTGTCTGCACAGGCTGGCTTCAAACCTTGAATCTCAGATCTCAATCTCCTGAATAGCTAGGACTATAGATTTGAACCATCTATAGTGGCTTTTTGTAGTACAATTCTTCTTTGCGCCCCCCCCCCCGCCTTTGTTCATACAATCCTTCTCTGATTTCATCATCGGAGGGTTTTTTCTGGAACTCATCCCTGATCATGTCCTCCTCCTACTGAAAAACTCTCATGGTCCCAATCATTTACAGGAAAAGGTTGAGACTTTCAGCACTTTAAAATGTATTCTGCCTTTCATTTATGTACTTGGCACTCATTTATCTTCCTGACAAACTCTTGTCTTCTAAAACTGGACCTAGATATCATATTATTTTTTAAACATATTCTAAAATTATTAACTGAAACTGTCAAAAAAACCCCACAAAATCAACAGGGAGTATCAATATAAAGAAAAAAGAGAAACATTTAAAAAGCTAAAATATTATTAAGTAATATTATGAACAATTTTATGCTAATTGTTTTAAATAAGTAAATGTGCTAGCAAGTTCCTGGAAAAATAAAACTTAGCAAAATTGACTCAGTATTACAAAGAACATTCAAATTGTTTCATATATATAGAAGTAATCAGAACAGTATTTAAATCTGGTAAAAATTGGGTATGGTGGCTTACACTTGAAATCCCAGCTACTCATGAGGTAGAGCAGGAGAATGAACATTCAGGTCCAGACTGGACAAAATGTCAGTAAGATCTCATTTCTAATGACAAACTAAATGTGATAGTTTATACTTACAGGAGGTATACATTAGAGGCAAAAAAAAATTGAGACCCTGACTGAAAAAATAACTGAAGCACACAAGGTCTGGAGGTGTGGCTCAAGTGGTAATGCTTCTGCCTAGTAATCATAAGGCCCTGGGCTAAACATCAGGACCTCCTCAAAACAATTTAACTGATACATAAAATCATGAAAAATTGTACATCATAATAGTGACTGAAGAAAATGCTCAGTGTCACTACTTATCAAGATCAGACACGGTGAGATGTAACCTTACCCCAGTAAGACTGGTGGCTACCAAGAAGACAAAAGATAATGTGTTCCTGAGGATGAGGAGACAAAGGAGCCCTTGCATGCTATTGGTGGGAATGTAAATGAGTATGTCCCTTATAGAATTTCCTCAAAACATTAAAAATCAATCTCCTATTCTTAGAGAAGCCTTCCCTGTCTTCCAGTGTGATTAGGATTCCTTGGTGTGTCTCCAGGACTAAAGTGTCATCACAACCTGTGACAAACAGCTCTGTGTGTGTGTGTGTGTGTGTGTGTGTGTGTGTGTACTTCCTTTAATCCTCAAAGCCTCACTTCATCCCACAAACCACTCTGTTCATAGCCAGCCCAAACTCCAAACTGGTTTCAAACTCCAGTGTATTTTGGTATCTTGTTCTATTCTGTCTTAGTTTTTATTTTGCATATCCCACATCTCAACTGTATCAATAGATGATACATTTCTTTGTTCTGAGTTCCTTCAATATTTTTAAGCCAATAAGTTCTTGGTGTGTGTGTGTGTGTGTCTAAAGTTATTTATTTAGAGTCCAAAATTGAACAAATCTTAAAGGTGAGTAGATACCTAATTTTAACGTTGTGTATATATGTGTGTGTGAACCATAATTTATTCACCAATGTGTTCTTTTCAAAAATACACTGATTAGATCCCCAAAACTAGTCAGAGAATGACAAGCTTTTTGAAGTACTCTGGGAATAATTGCTAATGAAACTAGCCCAATTACATTTCTTACTACTGATTAAAAAGAATCTAGACCTTCATATGAACAAGAATTTGGTTGCTCGGGTGGGCTTTTATAGCTATACCACTATAAATTTATACTCACCATATAAAAACTGTCAATGTACATAATTAATTGCTAAAACATTCCCTAGGGTTAACTGTCAACTGAATTAACTAAGCAATACAGTTATGTTTTAATTAGCCATTTTAGGGCCTGTAGAATTAGGTGTGGAATGCAGGGTGATAATTTTATATACAAAATTCTCTTCTTTTAATTTCATGCGGTATTTTAAATACATAACTATATATTTCTCAATCAAATCTCTCATTTTTCCTCCTTCCTTTTTTCCCCTCCCTACTTCCCTCCTCCCTCTCTTCTTTTTTCTTTCTTCATTCTTATAGTTTGGCTTAGGTTTGTCTTTTAGCAATATGAAGCAAATACTTTTTGTAATGTAAAGACTATTTGTAATGGAGCAATTGCCAACTATTCCAAAGTCTAGGATTTATTTATAAAAATCAACACTTTCTAAGTTTTCAGTATTATTAAAATGTTCATTGGAAAAACCATTAGGTACCTGTAATTGGAGCTCTTTCCATTCT